TCCTAGGCATATACCCAAAAGAGTCTCAAGTACACAATAAGGATATTTGCTCAACCATGTTTGTAGCAATAAAAAATAAATAAATAAACAAGAAAATCATGAAATTTTGCAGGTAAATGGTGGGATCTGGAAAAGATCATCCTGAGTGAGCTATCCCAGAAGCAGAAAGATGCACATGGTATATACTCACTCATATAGACATATAATATAGGATAAACCTACTAAAATCTGTACACCTAAAGAAACTAATCAAGAGGGAGGACTCTTGCTAAAATGCTCAATTGCTATCCAGAAAGGTAAAGAAGATGGACATCAGAAGAAGGAGAAAAGAGGGAACAAGTCAGGAGCCTGACACAGAGGACCTCTGAAAGGCTCTGCCCTGCAGACTATCAATGCAGATGCTGAGACTTATGGGCAACCTTTGGGCAGAGTGCAGGGAATCTTAGGAAAGAAGTGGGAAACAGTAAGATCTGGAGAGGACAGGAACTCCACAAGGAGAGCAACAGAACCAAAAAATCTGAGCACAGGGATCTTTCCTGAGACTGATATTCCAACCAAGCACCTACTTTGAATTGCCCACATTGCAAAATATTATTCTTTAGTTTTTTAGAAACCATTTAAAAGTGGCAACATTTAAATGGCTTCCAGGACATAAAAGACAAACTGGCGAGCAGGTGGGACCACAGGCCACAATTTGCCAACCTCATGGCATAGAATGAAATACTAACTGAGTGGTAGGCAATCCATATAAAAACAAAGACTTTTGCTGTGTATCTTTTCCAAGGAGATAAATGATTATAAGTTATCACAGTCAACAAACTCCTCACAAAGAAAGCAATGTTTTCAGGAGGCTTCACATAATAGACCACCTAGAAGGAAGCAGAGTGCAAGTAAGGCTTGTCAACAATTGCTCCTTGCCTCATTTGTTTTCTCTTTGAGGACTTTTCTTCTGTTGTGTTTTTCAAAGGAGAAAGGTATTTGTTATTCACAAATTCTGATCTTTGTGAATTTAGGGACACATAGAGTAATTCTGTGGTTTTGCTGAATAGAAGCTGACTTAGTGACTGGTCTCAGTTGTTAAGTCTAGGGGAAGGGAACCTGTTAAAATAGCCTCCGATTAATAAATTATTTAGACTTGTGCAAGAAGGCTCTATTTTTAATTCCTGTTCAGTATTTACATACCTTCCAAATATCAAATATCATGCTGTGTACCAAGATCAAAAAAATGACAAGAAGTTTACTGTCCTCAGAGTACTTAGCCAATTTGTGATCCTGGTTTGTTGAGAGAGAGGGAGATTGATAGAAAGAGGAGGGAAGAAGGAAAGAAAGAGACTGAGAAAAAGAGAGGGAAGAAGGAAGGAGAAAGTGAAATTGAGAGAGAGGAGAGAAGAAGGAAAGGAAGGAAGGAAAGACATTGTGAGAAAGAGAGGGGGAAGAAAGAAGGAAGGAGAGAGAGAAACAGTAAAGAGAGAGATATAATTTGGGCAGGCAGTTTGGATCACCTGAGAATTTTTCAGATTACACCCTTGAGGGTACTCCTCCACCCAGGTTCTGATTTGTTTAGTGTTAGATATGGCCTGGGTGTATAGTTGGTCTTTTGTTTGTTTTGTTTTATTTTGTTTGGTTGTTTGTTTTTAAGAGCGCCCCTAAGTGATTATTGTGAGCAGTCAAGGCAGAAAACCTCTAGCATAAGGAAAGGTTTATTATAGATCTGTGGGAGAGCATATCCAGAGGCAGAGGCAGGGACATGTGGGAGAGTCCAGAGTGGACATGACCAGATTGAGTTGTGCCCTGTGGGGAGAAAAAGGGAAGAGGAGGGAAAAGGAATTGCAGGGAAACCAGGTGGAGCAGCCAGGAGGCCCATAGTTACAAAGAGAGCTGGTAGCCTAAATGGTTGGATTATAAAGGGAAGAACAGCCCAGCCCTCTGGGCTAGAGGAGTTTAGGGTTGGGGTTGCCAGTCAGGAGGGCTCTGTAATAGGTAAGGACTGAGGGGCTCTGAGAGAATCTGGCAACCAGTGTCTGCTTTAATATGTTAAACAACTCAGCCATTTGTCCCAGGTTTTAAACCTAGCACCTACTTTAAAACTTTAGAACCATCCTTCTCAATGGAATTACAGCCAACATGCATAGGGGACTGGCCTAGAATAGTGATCAGGAGCAAAGAGTTAGTGCTGAACAGGCAAATGTTCACCACATTGCTATCTGGTTCTGTTCTTATAGGGGCAGGAGTCACTAAAGAGTTCTGAGAAAGGGACTAGCACTGTATTTATGTTTACAGAGATGACTCCTCTGGCATGATAAGCATGACTGATGGTTTCATAACTCCAGGCAAGAAGCCCAGTTACCAAGTCACTGCCAGGTCCACATGAGAAATGGTTAGGGCTTAAATGCCAATTAATGGCAGTGAATCTAAAAAGGAAATAACTATTCATAAGATATTAAAAATGTAAAATTGACAGGATGTGGTCACTGCTGGTGATTAAGAAGACTATGTTCCCAGCTGAATTACAGAACGGCAAGAATAAGAGATGCCAGGTATATAATGGGAAAGAAAAATGGAAATGAGTGAATTCCTTTTGATTCATTCTACTTTGGGATCTTGGTGAAAGTGTGCACTAAGAGTTTTTTAGTTACCCTTTCAAATATAGGAGCAAGACTGAGACGTGATGCTTCCCAGAGATATGAATCAAGGAGCCATTAGTCTGGCCAGAAAACAAGATAGCCAAAGTGAGAAATGCATAGGCCTGTGGAACACCACGTGTAAGGCATAGGAAAGGAGTTATTATATTGGCTCACAAATGGGTTCTGGTGACAAGAATAGAACCGGGAGGAAATGATGTAAAAAGAAAATGCAGATGTAAAACTGAAAGGAGAAATAAAAACATTACAAACTTCTGAACAGTCATAGAGCCTTGAGATTAAGACATGCGCATAGGGTGGATTAGCATAACTAGAATGCTAGTTAGAGAACCATTATTGCACTTGGCTTAAGAATAAATTTTAGCTACCTGTCAAAAATAGAGTCTATAGGTTTAGGAAGCTCTTTTCTTGTTCCTCATATATTCGAAATGGGGGAAAGTATTTAACTTTAAAACCATTTCTAATTGTTAATCATACTCAAAAAGAAGATCATTCTTCATATTCCTAAATGAAAAAGTAATTAAAGGCCACAGGAACAAGTAAAGGCTGACGCTAAAAAGACCACAGAGGCATCAGAACACAGGCAGAGCCCAAAAAAGAAAGAGGTCATACTTCAACACCTGCAACAAAAACAACAAAAAAGGTGGAGGCTTCATCTATACAGAAGTTCTACAAGGACTGGTTCCATCCATGTGCAACCAGGAAACTTGTATTCTCAGGGTGATCATTTGGTGGAATGCTTTTAAAAGAGAGAAGAGCTTTGGAAGAGAGGAATTCAGGTCTGGGTCAGGGAAGAAAATAATTTATTTAAAATATGTGAAATAGAGGAAGAGAGAGCAGGGATATGTGGGATTTTCCAGAGTCTTAGTAGAAGGATAACTATGGACAAATGATGAAATTGCTGACAAGAGAATTTTTTTAAAGTGATATAATAAGTGCCCTCTGTTCTCTGTCAGGTAAGAAGGATATAGAGGTAAGCAGTGAGGGTCAACAAGACAAGTGTTTTAAATGGGCACTGATCAGACACACATTTTTCAGATTGTCAAAGAACTCTGAGGTCTTGCCTGCAATGGGATGATATAAACCTGAGATGGTATCATGCTATAAGATTTTCAAGCATAAGAGTACAAAAGTTACACTGTTGAAAAATGCAAGGAGTTAAAAATGAATAAGGGGCCCCTGTAAGAGTAATGTGAAAGAATCGGGGGGGGGGGGCACTCTACTATCATAATTTTATTCCTCTGACCAGTAATATCAGACATTTCTAGAAAATTTCTAGCAATTAGCCATAGTTCTCCTATTCCAGCTTATTTTAAAATAACCAGTGCAGTATTGTTGCAATATGAAACTGTGGTACCTTTGGTCAGGCTGCAATGAGTCAAGGTTTGTAGGCTTCATCCTCTCTTCTCTATGCTAATTCAACTGTCTATTGGGTCAAAGCATTTTTCTTATAGGTACAAATGCACCATTTGTATTTACTTGAAAATGTATGATATATCTCCATGTGATTCCTAGCACCAATATTCTTGCACTTAGTATGAAAAGCCTCCAGAGACTGGAGACTTTTGGTCATCATCAGAAGAATGTCCAGTTCATTAACATTCCATAAGTAAATGTCACTCTGATGAGAAATTTTAGACCCTTAATGTCAGCAGTAGTGGCAGAAATATTGTAGAAAGAGGCTTTTTAATTAAGTTGAAATTGAACATTTAAGGTGACTTTTCAGGTACATTCTAGTAAGGGCAGTTGTTAGTAGTGAACCTCTGGGCCCTATTAAAGGACTAGATGCCTGTCAGCTCTAGGTCACTAGCCAAAGCTCAGCGGAGTTACTATAATCAAAGATTTTTCCTTGTCTGACATTTGGGGCACACAGGCTTTTTTTTTTTTTATGATGGTGGGTTTGCTTTTAATAGAGGGGTGTCCATCATATGAAAGCTACCTTCAAGTAGAACTAATTGGTAGCATAAACTAACAAAGGTCAGAGTACAGTCTTTTTTAACACTTTTGTCACTTTTCAGGTACTGCTGTTTTGTCATTTAAATAACATTTAAAATATTATTGTCCTAGTTTTTATTTTTTGGTCATTTTTTGAAAAACCCAACCCAAACTTTCTCAAACATTTGATCATAAGCTATTAACAATTATAAAATAGATAACCAAAATTAACAGCTTATGATTACTCAACAAGTTGGAAACTGAGAATGAAATCTGGGAGTGGCATTTCCTGCCAATGTGACTCATGAATGGATATGGCTGCTGTGTTAGGACAGATAGGCATATCGTCTTTTTATGCAGCAAAAGATGAAACCACTCACTGTAAATGATACTAAAATGTTTGTTTCTTTGTGACCATTTCAGGGGCATTGTACAGTCGGAAGAGAAACTTGTCATCAGTGCATCTTGGGCAAAAGATGATGATATCAGCAGACTCTTGAAATCGCTGTCAAACTGGACTAACATGGCTCAGCCCAAACAGCTGAGGCCTAAGAGGGAAGAGGAAGAAGACTTCATAAGGTAAATGCCTACTCTCTAATTTTTGCTAGTCAGAGGGAGGAAAACCCCCTATGTTCAGCAAAGCCTTTCTCAAATGAAATGGTGGTTCTAAAGATCAAGCAGCAATTACTTGAACTTGAAAAATCTGTTGTCATCCCCCACCACCACCTCCTTTCCCATGCAGGTGTGCCTTGGGCTCAAAAGTCAGCAGTATAGGAATTGTATTAAATCTGTTAGACACGTATCTGTCACCCTGCAATAAAGTAAAGCCCAAGTGGATCAAAGACCTCAACATAAAACCAGACACACTAAATCTGTTAGAAGAAAAAGTGGGAAGAGCCTTGACCTCATTGGCATAGGAGACAACTTTCTGAACAAAACACTAATGGCACAGGCTCTAAGATCAACAATCAATAAATGGGACCTCATGAAACTGAAAAGCTTCTGTAAAGCAAAGGACACTGTCATCAGAACAAAACGACAGCCTGCAGATTGGGAAAGGATCTTCACCAACCCTGTGTCTGACAGAGGACTAATATCCATAATATATAAAGAACTCAAGAAGTTAAACAGCAACAACTTCAACAAATCAAGTAATCCAATTAAAAAATGGGATATGGAGCTAAAGAGAGAATTTTTAACAGAGGAATATCGAATGGCAGAGAAACACTTAAAGAAATGCCCAGTGTCCTTAGTTATCTGGGAAATGCAAATCAAAATGATCCTGAGATTCCACCTCACACCCATCAGAATGGCTAAGATCAAAAACTCAAGTGACAATACATGCTGGAGAGGATGTGGAGAAAGGGGAACCCTTCTCCATTGCTGGTGGGAATGTAAACTTGTACAACCACTTTGGAAATCAATATGGTGCTTTCTCAGAAAATTAGGAATAGTGCTACCTCAAGATCCAGCTATACCACTCCTAGGCATATATCCAAAAGATGCTCAACCATACTAGGACATTTGCTCAACTATGTTCATAGCATCTTTATTCATGATAGCCAGAATCTGGAAACAACCTAGATGTCCCTCAACTGAAGAATGGATACAGAATGGATAAAGAATGGATACATTTACACAACGGAATACTACTCAGCAATTAAAAACAAAGACATCATGAAATTTGCAGGCAAATGGATGGAATTAGAAAAGATCATTCTGAGTGAGGCAGTCTAAAAGCAGAATGACACACATGATATATACTCACTTATAAGTGGATATTAGCCATATAATATAGGATAAACATATTAAAATCTATAGTCCTAAAGAAGCTAAACAACAAGGAGGACCCTAGGGAAGAGGCTGAAACCTCATTCAGAAGGATATCAGAAGTAGAAGATAGGGAACAGGACAGGAGCCTTCCAGAGAGGGCCTCTGAAAGACTCCACCCAGCAAGGTATCAAAGGAGATGCTGAGACTCATAGCCAAACTTTGGGCAGAATGCAGGGAATCTTATGGAAGAAGCGGGAGACAGAAAGATCTTGAGGGGACAGGAGCTCCACAAAGAGACCAACAGAGCCAAAAACAAACAAACAAACAAACAAACAAAAACCTGGGCCCAGGGGCCCTGACAAGACTGATATTCCTACTAAGGACCATGCATTAAGAAGACCTTAAGAAGACCTTGATCCCCTTCTCAGATCAAGCCCATAAGCTGTTCACTTTGCAAGTGGGTTCCCTAGTAAGGGGATCAGAGGCTGTCTCTGATATCAGTGGGCGGCTCTTTGATCACCTCTCCCTGGGGGGTGTAGACTTGCCCAGGGCACAAATGATGCACCCAGCCCTGATGAGACCTGGTAGGCTAGGGTCAGATAGAAGGGGAGGAGGACCTCCCCTATCAGTGGACTAGTGGAGGGACGGGGGAGTGAAGAGGGAGGTTGGGTGGGACTGGTAGGAGACGAGAGAGGGCTACAGCCAGGATACAAAGTGAATAAACTATAATAAATAATAATTAAGTAATTTAAAAAAGTCAGCATGAAAGACTTGTAAACCCAATCTGAAGCATTGCCAAGTTGGGCTAAGATGTTTTATATTATACAGGTATAATACAATCATCTTGTTCATTCATTCATTCAGCAAAGCTTTACTGATCCTGTTCCTTTGCATACTAATAGTATGTCTGTATCACAGAATTCCAAGCATATTCTATAGCTTCCATTTAATTCAGACTATATTACCTCCACTGTTTTCTGCTTGTTTTCACAAAAGTAAGGTCTCTCTTTTAACTTTTTCACTCAACATTTGTCTTTGTACATGTGTGTACTTAAGCCATGGAATTTGATGAAGCTGCATGTTTTTACTACATCTGGGTTGCAACCCTGTTTTCACTTAAATGATCATAGAACCGTGTATAATAGATAAATGATGGCAACAATATTTTATCACATTAGAATTAGGTTCATTCTTATTATCTTTTGTTTATCCAAGAGAAGAAATACATGATACAATAAAAGAAAAGAACTTGTAAAAAGCAAAGAGTAAGAGACGACTTAGTAAGGCATAACTAGATGCTATAGAGCAACAGTAATAAAAACGGCATGGTAATGACATAGAAACAGAATGGTGGATCAATGGAACCAAATAGAAGACCCAGAAATAAACCCACACACTTAAGTACACCTGACTTTTGACAAAGAATGGAAATAAAAAAAATATAGCATCTTCAACAAATGGTGCTGGTCTAATTGGATGTCAACATGTAGAAAAATGCAAATAGATCCATACTTATCACCCTGGCCAAGATCAAAAACTCAAGTGACAACACATGCTGGAAAGGATGTGGAGAAAGGGGAACCCTCCTCCACTGCTGGAGAGAATGTAAACTAGCACAACCACTCTGGAAATCAATCTGGCACTTTCTCAGACAACTAGGAATAGCGCTTCCTCAAGATCCAGCCATACCACTCCTAGGCATATATCCAAAAGAGGCTGAATACACAGACATATCCTACACAATAAGGACATTTGCTCAACCATGTTTGTAGCAGCCTTATTTGTAATAGCCAGAAGCTGTAAACAACCCAGATGCCCCTCAACTGAAGAATGGATACAGAAATTGTGGTACATCTACACAATGGAATAGTACTCAGCAATGAAAAAACAAGGAAATCATGAAATTTTCAGGTAAATGGTGGGAACTGGAAAAGATCATCCTAAGTGAGCTATCCCAGAAGCAGAAAGACACACAGGGTATATACTCATTCATATAGACATATCATATAGGATAAACCTACTAAAATCTGTACATCTAAAGAAACTAGTCAAGAGAGAGGACCCTGACTAAAATGCTCAATCTCCATCCCGAAAGGCAAAGAGGATGGACATCAGAAGAAGAAAACAGGAAACAAGTTAGGAACCTGCCACAGAGGGCCTCTGAAAGCCTCTGCCTTACAGACTATCAAAGCAGATGCTGAGACTTATGGCCAACTGTTGGACAGAGTGCATGGAATCTTATATAAGAAGTAGGAAATAGTAAGATCTGGAGAGGAAAGGGACTCCACAAGGAGAGCAACAGAACCAGAAAATTTGAACACAGGGGTCTTTCCAATGTCTCATACTCCAACCAAGTACCGTGCATGGAGATAACCTAGAACCCCTGCACAGATGTAGCCCAAGGCAGTTCAGTGTCCATGTGGCTTCCATAGTAATGGGAACAGGGACTGACTCTGACATGAGCTGATTGGCCTGCTCTTTGATAACCTCCCCCTGAGGGGGGAGCAGCCTTACCAAGCCACAGAGGATGACAATGCAGCCACTCCTGATGAGATCTGATAGACTAAGATCAGAGGAAGGAGAGGGGGACCTCCCCTATCAGTGGACTTGGGGAAGGACAGGTGTGAAGAAGGGGGAAGGAAGGTGGGATTGGCAGGGGAGGAGGGAAGGGTTTATGGGGGGGATACAAAGTGAATAAAGTGTAATTAATAAAAGTTAAAAACTGTAATGGCCATTGTCTTCACTTTCAATTTACGGTCAAACAATAGGTTCATGCCAGAATATAGATTGAAACTGTAGATAATATGGTAGCTTGAATGAGAATGTCCCCCATATACTCAGGTATTTGAATACTTGGTCCTTAGTTGGTGACATTGTTTGGGGAGGTTTAGGAGTTGCAGCCTAAGAGTAGGCTTTACACGCTCACAGCCTTACCCCACAACCAGTTCATTCTCTCTGCTTCATGTTTGTGGTTAAAAATGTGATCTCTCAGCTTCCTACCTCTGCCCTCAAAGACCATTATGAATTCTCCCTCTGGAACCATAAACAAACAAATGGTTCCTTCCATCTTTTGCTTTTGGTCATGGTATTTTATCACAGCAACAGAAAGTAACTAATATATACAGTCTTTACTCTTAAGAAAGTTAACTGTATTTATACCCTGTAGGACTTATTTTCATTGAAAGGTGATAATTTTTTCCTGATATTAGCTCATCTATAGTTATTATTGAAAAGTTGTAGGACACTGTTGATGTGAGATGTATATACATGTCTGTTGGGCATTTGTTAGGACTTAAATTGCTGGATAATAGGGTGTGCAAATTTGTGGGTTCACATTATCAGTTTTCTAAAGTATTCTTAATGAATTGGAAATTGGCTCAGCCATTAAGAACACAAACTGATCTTGCAGAGTACCCAAGTTGTTCTCAGCACCCACAACTGCCTGTGACTCTAGTTCCAGAGGATCTAACATTTTCTTCTGGCCTCTACAGGCATCTATACTCACACATACCCACACACAGAATGCACACATACACATAACTTAAAATAAAATGTCTTAAAAAGAGTAAGAAAAGAAAGTAGGCCTAGAAGGTTATATCCTCACAGTGGCTTATCAGGGTTCCTGTTGGCCTATGTGTCATCAAGACTGGATATCTTCCATCTGCTGATAGAAGTCATTCTAGTATGTGGGCCGAGGCAACTTGAGGTTATTGAATATGAATTTCTCTCAGATGATGCTGAGCAGTTTCCCGTGTACTTTTACATATTTGTTGAACATATTTCTTAATTTTAATAATGTTTTATGT